GAATTTTATTTGTTCTTTGTTTTGTTTTTTATTTTTCGAGGCTGTTTCTCGGTGTAGCCCTGGCCATCCTTGAACTCTCTCCGTAGACCTGGCTGGCCTCAAACTCAGAGATCCACCTGCCTCTGTGCAGAGCTGAGTGGTGTGGCCATGTGCCACCGTGCCTGGAAAACTTAAAGAACTTAAAAATGGGAAAAATAAGAAAACTTCACTGTGAAGGAGAGATACGGTGCTAACAGACGGTAAACAAAAGAGCATCTCCTGCTACCAATCAACACAGGCAGAACCTTCCCTGCCAGCAGCCTGTGTTTGGGAACAGAATTTCCTACACCATCATGGCCACCGCAGGAAAAGCAGAGAAGCCACAGTAGTTAGAAACTCCGAATCTGAGGGAAACCCACAAATACATTTTTAATTTTATTTAACACTTTAATTTTATTTAAATTATGTTTTCCATTCTCAAATGTTCTTATAAGTACTTATATTATAAATACTCCAGAGTAAAGGGGCCTTCCAGAGAGTGAAGTCGCTCTTGTTTCGGTCCTACGGGAGTTAAGAATCGATGCAGCAAGAGGCTATGCTTCGAGGGAAATAAAATCAATCCTAGTTTCGATGTGACTTGTTCAGGGTTCACCTGTTTCGCCTAACCCACACTAATGAACAGGTGGATAAAAATGAAGCCAAGTGCATCAAAGGAAACATGCAATCCTGAAGCACAATACACCTGCAAGTTTCATCATGCACAGGACACCCAGCCCTCTGCCTTCAGGTCTGACAAGCCCATGGTGAAACTGCTCCACCCACTAAGTGTAACTTCCTTCTGCCCTGGAGCCAGACCAGACCCAAGTGACCCTCCAAATGAGAGAAGAAAAGCCGAGTGGGAGACCGGAGACGCCGCTGCCCCAAGCAGCAGGACTTTGGGCTTCTGGGAGGCCGAGTCAGGCACTGCGAGCCCAAGGCGAGAGACCACCACGGCTGCTGATCCACGGTTTCATTCGTCCACTTCCCGGGATTTCAGGTGTCTGCGTCAGACAATTGCTCACCATCCTCAGGGCAAATCTCTCTAGATAGAGCAGAGGTACAGATGCCAAACCACCACGGCACTCTGCCCCAACAGCAGAGATCTGGGTCTCATCTTCCCCTCCCTGCCAACACACCCAGCTGGGGGGGGGGGGTAGGAGACAACTTTTCTAAGCCTCTGGGAACCCTTTTTACACCACGGGAGGAAGGAAAGAGAGAATTTCTCTCCCTCAACACTGGAATTTGAAGATGTTCGAATAAAAGGCACACACGTCTAACTGGCTTAAGTCACTAAAAGGAATCTCAACCCACTGGCATAACTGGCAAGGAATGAACAGCAACTGGGCCTCCAGTGTCTGAGCGCAATCTAATGCTTGATGCACACCCCAAATGAGAAAGGAGAAACAGAAAACTTGGGAGCCACACAGAGACAAGAAACAGGTGATCACTCTGGCAGGACCTCCAGTGAACCTTCGGTTAGAGCCCAGCAGGTTGTCCCACCTCCCGTTGGAGTCTACAGCCCCTACGCAGGAATCCCTGCTTACCCTGCCAGCTGCATCTCTATTGCCATGGGCAGATCAGAGAAACTCCTGAGCCAGGCTGGCAAGTAGTTAGCTATAGATCCCAAAGCCCCTCAGAAACGCAGAGTGCTGGCTAGGTGTAGTGATCCGTACACATAACCCTTGTACTTACAAGACTGAAGCTAACCTGAGCTGTAAAGCAAGATCTTTCTCACCTAAACCCAGAAAGAATGCAGACAGCTGAACAAAACCAGTCTAAAATCAATCCCCTGAGATTAATCGTGTCTGCCCTCCTGTGTGCCACATACACATGCTAGACAGGTCAGACTCTAGCTACATTGTCAGACCTTCCTGTACTCTCTTGACCTAAAACTTTTCAACAAGACCCATGCCAAGCCAGAGGTGTTGACATACACCTGGAATCCTAGCACTCAGGAGGAAGAGGCAGGAGTATCAACACAAGTTCAAAGTCAGCCTGGTCTACAAATTCCAGGCAAACCGGGACTACATAGTAAAACATGCCTCATTTTTAAAAAGCATAGGAAGCCAGGTATGGTGGCGCACACCTTTAATCCCATCGCTCAGGAAGCAGAGGCAGGTGGATCTCTGAGTTTGAGGGCAGCCTGGTCTACAGAGGAAGTTCTAGGACAGCCAGGGCTACACAGAGAAACCTTGTTTCCAAAAACAAAAAGAAGTTAAAACCGGGTGGGGGCTAGGGGGGTATAGGGGGGGACACGGACACACACAACAGGGACCACGATCACAGCAGGTAGTGCAGGGCAGCAGAGAGATGGCTCAGTTGGTCATCAAACCTGAAGACTGAGTTCAAACCCCGGAAGCACATGGTGGACACAAGGAACAGTTATTCTGGAATCTTTTATCATTATTTTTACTGTTGCTGCTGCTGGGCTCGAAAGAGAGCTCAACAATTAAAAGCACTTGAATCACCACAAACACACTGTGGTGCATGCACCTGTGCACACACACAGCAAACAGAAGTAGGAATAAAATGCTTTTAAATATTAATGCCAAAATATCAAGAATCTATTTACATCCAAATCGTTCAAATTAACCATTTCTGTCTACTTCGTCACCAGTTACCTAAGACACAAATGCATACTACCTACCGTGATTTATAAATCAATCATGGGGGGCACACAGATGTGACCTCTGCATCCTTCCCCCCTCCCTCCTCATGCTACCCTTCAGGGTAGGTCACTGCTTGTACCAACCGCTACTGCAATCAAAATGAAAATCACAATAAACCCTCTCCACACAGCTAGAGCAAAGCCTCTAGAGGTGTGGGCTATCCTTCTGTACTCGCAAATCCCAAAGATATCTGCCACAGGCAGAACCTCACAGTTCACCAATATGACAAAAGTGACAACCATAACTTTTACACACACACACACACACACAATATATATATATATATATATATAGTAAAAGAAATACACATGTGTGCATATACGTACACACTATAACTGACATGTGAAGGCAACCATAATTTTTCTCAAGATTTATTTTACTTCTAATTATGGGTATACGTGTGTGATCTGTGTGTGTGCACATGTGTGTATAAGTGCTCACAGAGGCCAAAAGATGGCATCAGATCTCTGGGAACTAGTTACAGGAGTTGTGCACCTCCCAACATGGATCCTGGACACTGAACCGGGTCCACCTGGAAAGGCAGCAAGTGAGCCATCTCTTGAGCCCCACAACCATAATTTTTAAAAAACACTTCAAAGACAAAATATGATCTAAAAAAAACTATTAGGGACTAGGTAAACCTAGATGGTTCAGTGCTTGCCTAGCATGTTTAAGGGTCTTTGTCTGACAACCCAGCACTACCAGAGAGAGAAAAAAAAAAAAAAAAACACTATGAGCTGAAACACTATCTGCTGAGTTAAATATCTATTATCACACACATTAGAAAAAATTACTGCTACATACCCAAGAGAATTAGTTGTAAACATAAATTTAAACATGCACACACACACAAATAAAAAGAAAACTCTTATGTTCCCTGTAGCACTAATCACAACCAACCACATAATGAAACATTGTCTGACCACAAAAAAGGAGTGAAGAAGTGGAGGACTGACACACGCCACAGGACGGACAGACCTACGGACACTGTGCTCAGTGAAAGAAGCCTATCCTTCATGAGTCTAAACATGTAAACTAAAAGCCACATCCACAGACGAATGCAGGTCAGGAACCACGGGTGCCATGGAGTGGTGTGGTGTGTGGAGTGACAGACTGAGGGAGACGGTGGTTACTGCACAACTCTGTGGACAAACAAAACAAAGGAAGAGCCAGTCCTCATAGCAAGCAAATCACATTTCGATTTGCACAGGACATAAACATCTCATTTTCCCAGGTTTCCTTCCTACGTGTTTTGAAGGGCAGCCCTCTGAAGGCAACAGCAACACAACTGAAAATGAGGAGATCAAGCATTTCTCGCTCCCACAGCTAGGGTGCACACACAGCTGCAGAGGCAGATGCAGGGGGTCCACGTCCCCTTCCCAGGGTTTCGGGCACCTGGCCCTGGCACCTCCCACCCTGACTCAGGACCTGTGTAAAGGTGTGCAGACAGCCAAACCCCAGATGCCAGTATGGCTGGTTGCCTTCAAACTTCCCCAAAGGATCCTGTTTCCTCTGCCTCAAAGACAAGGACAAGAACTACTCTCAAATCTCACCCAGTGTAGTCAAAGAAAGTCAAGAAGACATGTCTGGCCCTGGAGCCTACAGTCCAGAAGATCATCTGCAACCCTCCAATCCATGCCCTCCTCCTGAATGCTGACTCTCAATACCGGGGCCTCAGAAGGCCGCTGTGACCTCGTAAACACTAACCCTAGTAACAGCATTAGAGGCACTATGACCTTCTGAACACTGAGCATCAAAACCAAACAAAGTCTTAGAAGTCCATCTGTGACCTCCTGAGTACTGGTGCAGGAGCTTCCTAGCCCTGTTCACAGGATTTCACACTAGAGCTTTCTTCTTGAGAAGACCAGCAATAGTAGGTCAGGCACAACGGGCTTCTCGAGACAGGTCCCAGACTCTGTATTTAAACTCAGATACTAGAAACTTCGGATTAACCCACTAATTCAAACAGGATCAGATTTCAAGCCTTCTGCCTCGTTCACAAGGGCTGGCGTCACTGACTGCTTTAGTCAACGAAACTAAGCAAAACCCGCAAGAACACGGCTGCAGTTCTACAGACACCACTGCCCCCTAGTGGTGATGCGCACTTCATCGGCTTTCTCCTGTTAGCCACCACTCCTGGTCAGCCTCAAACACTAAACACCGCAGCAGATGAAACCACACTTCTGTGATGCAAACAAACCCCACCATGCTCCAGTCGCTGGAACCTAGAGTCACTGGAGCCAACAGTTTGGGGATGAACCATCAGTTTGGAAACACAGTCCCACAGATCCACAAGCTGTCCCTGGTGCTTACCAGGGCCTGCAGCATCCCGTCCATGACAATGACACCCTCGATGGTCTGGAAGGAGGAGTGGGCCAAGGTACACAGGCTCCAGTCCAGAAAACTGGCCATCTTTCTCTGCTTGACATCAGGACGTACGATAAACCTGCAGAGGAACACAAACACAGGAGGAGTTCAACAGGACTCCAGTGCTGAACTCAGCCACATCCCAGCAACCACCACACACTTTTCCTCCCAGTCACCTTGTACCCCTAAGCAGGGCAGCTGCCTACATACACGGTGCTCTCTCTAGCGAACCACAGCCCCTGACCATCATGGTCCAGCAGCTGATTTCCCACGAGACTCTCTCACGAAGTTACTCACAGGCCTCACCACCTTCCCGCCTTCCCTCCTGGGACAACTCATCCAGCAGCTTCACAAATCAATGGACACATTTATCCCCACCGTGGCAGGGAACATCCGCCTACTTCTCAGCTCCGTCTCCTTCCAAGTGTATCCCTTAACCTCAAGATAAATCCTCCAAAACCTCATCCGACAGCCAATCTAACCCAAGGACCTCTCTACCACAGCCTTTATGGGTCACATAACTTCCACCTCATGCTACGCATGCCTGGTTCCTTCCACCCAACGTCCAGCTGACAATGTGAGCCCAGACCTCTGGTTCTGTGACTCTAAACGGGTCCGATAATGAAAAAAACAAGCAAGGTTCTGCCCTCTCAGGGCTGATGCCAAGAGAGAAGGCAGCCCAAAGGTGTAACCCCAAAGAAAGAGACCAGAAGACAAACTTCAGAGGGGGACAGATGGCACTACCTTCCCAAAGAAGGCTCCCAGGCTCACAGACAAACCTCGAGGACTTGCAAAGGAGAGCTGGACAAGGAAGGACACCGCCCAGGTGAGAAAACTCTGTATCAGGGGAAATGGAGCTAAGAGGAAATTAAGCATAACGACCAGGGACCGAAGGAAAGAGGAAAGTGGTTTACGTAGGTCATGCTTAGGAGATGGGAGGAGTAATTAGTCCTTCAGTGGGACAGAATGCACTTTCCTTCCCAGAATTCCCACTTCCTAGTGCAGTGCCTACAAGCCACCACAGGGTTCCACCAGGTCGGCTGCTTCTCTGGATCCTGACTCAGAAAGGTGTCACTTTTCCCTTTTCTTCTTTTCTGTCTTTCGGTGCTGGCCAGAGCTGACGTAGGCCTTTTTTTGGCATTTTGGGTTTCCTTACTTTTGTTAAAACTCCTCTTCCCTGCCAAGTGGTGTCTGCAGCAGACAGGGAACAAATACAGAGACCCACAGCCAGGCATTCTGCAGAGACAGAAACCTCAGAACACTCCATCAAATCAATCACATCAGAGCTCAGGGAACCCCAAGCAAGGGGATGTGGAAAGCTGTAATATCCAGAGGATATTAATCGCAGCACTCAGGAGGCAGAGGCAGGCGGATCTCTGTGAGTTCGACACCAGCCTGGTCTACAAGAGCTAGTTCCAGGACAGGCTCCAAAGCTACAGAGAAACCCTGTCTTGGAAAAAAAAAAAAAGTTACCATCTGGACTGTAGTTCAGGACGCTCTCTGTTTCCTGGTGCACTGCACATAAGCCACCTCCCACCACAGCGAATGGAGCTACTCAGTGTCTCGCTCGCTCGCGGTGAGGTTACAGTCGCAGCAGTACAACCAATACAGACACCAACTACATGACACACTCGGTCCAGCCCAAAGCAGGTATTCTCCAGGCTGTCTGGCACACCCGGGGCCCAAGAGAGGCCCAAGATTTGCACCCCTTAGGGTCTATCCACAGGGAGCAACCCAGATACCAAAACAGGCTTTCGTCATATTTTCATAATTAGAGATGACAGAAGCAATCACAGGCCTGACACACGGCATACACCAGTCAGCCTGGTGTTAAAAATAAAAAATAGAAAAGTACGGTGCTACCTTGTGAGACTGTGCTACATATGTTCAACTTAATAACAGCAATGAAAGCCGAGCAGTGTTGGTGCACACCTTTAATCCCAGCACTCGGGAGGCAGAGGCAGGCGGATCTCTGGGAGTTCCAAGCCAACCTGGCCTATAAACCGATTCCAGGATAGTCAGAGTTGTTACACAGAAAACTGTCTCGAAAAACCTAATACTGATAATAATGACAATGATAATAACAGCACTGAAAAAGACAAAAATACCCTATGTGTCACTAGAATTCATCTGTAGGATTTTTCTAATACTTCTGTTCCAAATTTCCTTCTTCATAAAATATGCCTTGCTTTATCTTTTTCTTTGGTACTTTTTTCTTTAGAGAGAGTATCATTATGTAGCCTAAGATGGCCTCCAAAGTTCACGAGATTGTCCTGCGTCACCCTCTCCAGTCCAGACATCATGTCCAGTAGTCCTTGCATATAGAAACAGAAAACAGGAGCTACTTTTTCAGACTGATGCCATCAAGAGTAAATCTGGGAGCTGAAGGCTTGGCTGGGTGACTAAGAGCACTGGCTGGGGCTGGAGAGATGGCTCAGAGGTTAAGAGCACTGACTGCTCTTCGGGATCCTGAGTTAAATTCCCAGCAACCATCTGATGGCTCACAAAATGAGATCTGGTGCCCTCTTCTGGCAGGAATGTATGCAGGAACACTGCATATATAACAAATCTTTAAAAAAAAAATAGAATGCTGGACTTTCTTCCAGATGTCCTGGATTCAATTTCCAGCAGCCACATGGTGGCTAACAACCGTAAGTAACTCCAGTACCAGGGGATCCAGTGTTCTCTTCTGGCCTCCAAGGGCTCTGTTTGCGCATGGTACACAGACATACATGCAGGCAAAATACCCATATATATTGAAAAATTATATATATGTACAATTTATGAAAAAAAAATTTTAAAGAGTAAAGCTCTATTATTCTCCTTGTCTTTATTTTTTTTCTTGTTTTGTTTTGTTTTTCAAGACAGAGTTTAACAGTGTAGCTTTCTCTAGTTAGCCTAGAAATCTCGGTATTAACCAGGCTGACCTTGAACTCACAAAGGTCGTCTGAGTGCTGGGATTAAATCACAAGTCGCCCTGCCTGGCTTCCTTATCTTTCTTTGGCAGGTGTTCTTTCTCACCAGAACTTGATAGCTGGACCTGATTGCTAAAGACACAGACTTTAATCACGGGGACACAGAGAAATCAAGCTGTTCTGACCTGGAAGCTTCCTCCTTGCTGGCTAGCTTTCCTGGTGCCAAAAGGTGTTTTACAGGCTACTGAGGGAGAAAAGCCAACAACAGATGTGACCGTAAGCTACAGTAATGATTGGCCTGGCAAAACAGACCCATTGGTAGAGCAGTGGCATGAATATTACAGTCATAACCAACAGCTTTCTAAATGCATGTAAGGCCCATCCACAAGGAGGAACTCCTGTCTGGTACTAAATACCTAGGCAATAACCCACGGCTGGGGAGATCATAGGCCCTATTAGTATTATCTTGCCAAAGGAACGCAGAAAACAAACTGCCTTCTAAATAGAACAACAACAACAAGACATGAAGTTGGAAAGAGAACTGGATGGACAGGAGGGTGTCTCCCAGACAAGCTGGAGGTGGGAATGAGGACACGGTATCTAGATAGCATCTAAGTAAATGCATTGTGTTCACATATGAAAATTCCAAATAACACTTTTTAAATAAAAGTAAAAATAAACTTAAAAGTAAAATAACAATTAAGAAAAACAAAAGGTTATAGGAAAAGTTCCGCATGGTAGCTCACATTTGTAATTCCAGCAGCTGGGGGACTGAGACAAGAAAAAGATAGCATTTCTGAGACCAACCTGGACCTCACGTGAACCACAGGCCAGCCTTGGCTGACTGAGTAGAATTCTGTCTCAGAAACTTGAAAACAAATGGTTAGGGGAAGTTCCACCTTAAACCTACTACAGGAAGCAGGTGTGGTTCCAGAGCCGCAGGCAAAGAAGAGCACAGACAGCTGCCGGCAGTTAGTGTAGCAGGGCCAGACAGCAGCATCTCAACAGAGAACAGCACGTCACTGTGCACAGGCCCACTCTGCACCCCACCAAAAAGGTGACTCAGAACCAAGTAAATAAATTCACTGGGCACCTCCGGGGCCATTCCCAGTGACCGTGTCCGTCTCTGCAAACCCTGGTCTCACACGACCTCAGGCCAGTGTTGCACTGCACAGACAGTGCGCAGTCTGGCAACAGCCTCCCCAAGGTGGATACAGCCTCACCAAATGAAACAGTCACTCTGTTCACAGCAGCACTAAATGGAACCGAGGTTCTGGCGCTCCAAGCTGCGGCTCTTCCTGTAGGATCCCAAGAAGTGAACACGAGGTGTTGAGTTTTACATTCTGTGGCCCGCAGATACTTCATGCAGTACAGCGTGGCATGAAAGTACCACCACGACTAGTACTAAAAATACACAGCGGATACAGGGTAGACAATAAGGCTGGTGAAATGGCTCAGGAGGTAAAAGTCCACACACATGCATATGTACAGACACTTGCAGTAAATAATTAAATGTAGCATTTTTAATAAATGTATTTTTAATTTTTAAAGATAATAGTTTTCATTTAACAAAGTTAAATGTCCCACCCAGCTGACAAATACTAAAAAAAGGGAGCCTTCAATTTACTTAACCTTTGCAGTGACTATATTTTAAACCCCTAAAAAAAAAAAAATTCACCCCACTTACAGGAATTCATTCCAAGAAATCAATCAAAATAGTTTTATGTAGAAGATTCAGGAATGGCCATGTTAACCAAATAAGAAGAAGGCCATGCCGGGCGGTGGTGGGCAGATGGTTGTGAGTCACCATGCAGTTGTTGGGAATTGAACACAGGACCTCTGGAAGAACAGGCAGTGCTCTTAACCTCTGAGCCATCTCTCCAGCCACAGTTATATCCAGGGGCATTCAGGGTTCAGCAATTCAACCAAACAGAACATGTGGTTACCAGATATGCACCAAAGCATAAGCGGCTACATCTCCCAGAGGAAGAAAGGAGATACAGATTACAGTCTTCAAAATGTATGTGTTCCTTTTGTTACGGTTGAATCTGAACTATCCTGAGAAACCATGTGATCAAAGCTGCTTGCTGGCTGACGGGGTTTCTCAGAAGTGATTGTCTGGATCATGAGGGCTCAAAATTTAGGATATTCCCTGAGAGGGTTG